TATTTTACATAGATTTTTTTCTTTATTTTATTAATAAAATATATTTTAATATTAATTTTTTTATGAATCAGCAAAATCAGCCAATACGTCACTTCAGCCAGAACTTCATAAATTTCAGCAGAATCAGCCGATTCAGCTAATTTCAGTGTTACCAAATGGGCTCTACGTGTTTTTCACCAAACACGTAATTTTTGCTTTCGTGCGTTGAATTGTGCAATAAGCCGAAAAAGCAAGGTAGAAGTTACTTTTCTGGCTGTATTGGTTGAAGTTACTGTGGATGATTATTTTAACTATTTTTACATATAATTTTTTCTTTATTTCAAAAATATTATTTTCTTAACTCAGTAGAATCAGCCAATACAACCATTTCAGCCAGAACATCATAAATTTCAGTAGAATCAGCCAAATCAGTCGATATTCGTGCTACCAAACAGTTCTTAGTCTTGTTTAGGGAATTAGCTCTTTTATTTTTAGAAGAACCAAGTGAAAATAGTAGGGGTGGGCAAAAGACCTGTTACTAAATTGGCTGTAGGTCAATTGTGATCCTCGGATCCCTATGTATTGCAGTATTGGAAGGAGTGGATGTAGAACTGGAAGAGGAATGTGCTGATTCACTTGGGTTGGACTGATTTTGATTGGTAGATAAAGAGAGATGATCATTTTGATGTTGAGAAGATATAGACGCACTGTCAGAAGATGAAGACTCACTGGTTTGAATGGGGTGTGTGAAGGATTGGATACTGATAGGTGCAGAAGAAGGATTTGAACTTAAACTGGGAGAAGAGACAGATGCATGAGTAGTGAACAAGGTAGGGTAAGGAAACTTGGATTCTTGAAACACAACATCTCTGGAGATGTAAATTTTCCCTGAGGATGACAAGCATTTGTAGCCTTTGTGATTGGAAGAATACCCTATAAACACACACTCTTCAGTATGAAAATCTAATTTGTGTTTGTGATAGAGTCTGGTGAATGGGTAACAGGCACAACCAAAGACTTTGAGAAAGGTATAATCACGGACAGATTTATACAACTTGAAGTATGGACTGGAATTGCAGATAGATTTGGATGGTGTTCTGTTGATAAGATGGACAGAGGTGGCAAAGGCTGCATCCCAGAATTTAAGAGGTAAGGAAGAGTGAGATAGAAGTGATAGGCCTTTTTCAACAATAGTTCGATGTTTTCTTTCCATAACACCATTCTGATGGTGTGTGTGTGGACAAATTACTCTATGAACAATTCCTTTTTGAGTGAGAAGTTTAGTGAAAGATCTGAATTCACCACCCCAGTCAGATTGAATGGCCTTTATAGATGTGGAAAATTGATTGAGAATATACTGAGAGAAATTGGTAAAGGCAGTTAGAGCATCAGATTTTTGTTTAAGAAAGTATATCCATGTGTATTTAGTACAAACATCAATGAAAGCTATGTAATAATGGTAACCATCAAAGGAGGAAATAGGAGCTGGTCCCCACAGATCTGTGAATACTAATTCAAAAGGATGATTATATTCAGTAGTGGAAGTATGAGAAGGCAGTCTATGTGCCTTGCCCATGTGACAGGCAGAACAAAAGTCAATAGCATTTCTATTTATATTTGAAACATTACATTGTTGGAGAACAAGTTTAAGAGCCTCAAAGTGAGGATGACCAAGTCTTAGGTGCCATAGATTACAAGATTGAGTGGAACTACAAGCTGAGGAATTATTACAAGTAGATAACATGACACTAGACTTAGGACACTGTGTAGAAGGCTGATTAGCATTTGGAGAACTTGGATGTGAACCAATAGCAGGGAGAGAAGTGAATCTGTAGAGACCATCTTGTCCCAGAACCCCATGTAAGAGAATTTGATTAGAAACCTGAGATTTCACAAAACAGTCATAAGGATAAAATTCAAAATATACATTGTTATCCTTTGCAAACTGACTGACACTGATCAAATTTTTGGTAATTGCAGGAACATGGAGAATATTTTTGAGTGAAAGAGAAATAGAGGACTGATAAGGGAAGGGAAAGGAAGTAAAACCAACAGACTTGATATCCAAACCTTGACCATTGCCCATAAAGAGCTTATCAGTTGTAGTAACAGGATCACTATGTTGCAGGTTAAAGGGATCCGAGGTTGCATTGGGCCAATTGGCTGTAGGTTGCTGTGGTTGATGTACAGTGTCAGGTTGATGTTGTTGGTGTGTAGGTGATGGTGAAGTATGATAAGGTGGAGTGTGATCCCAGTTGAACTTTGGTTGAGAGTAATAAGGTCTCTGTGGTAATGGATTTGAGAATTGTGGATGAGCTAAGTATTGGTTATAGTGATTTGAGGATGTAGGGTTACAGTATAGGATGGATTATAACGATGATAGCATATCAAGGCATGGTGACCTGGTTTTCCACAGACTTGGCAAGTAATAGCATTCCGACCTCCAGATCTTCCTCCTCTTCCACGTGTGAAACCTCCACGACCTCTTCCTCGATAAGAATTAGGGTTACCATTGTTGTCAAACTGAGCAATCTGTACTGAAGCATTTTCCGGGGTATTCTCACTTGCAGATTGATTAGGTGCAGATGAAATTTCCAAACGAGCAACATTAGCAGACAGAATATTTGTCTGAGATGATTCACGAAGCTTCTGAAGTCGTACCTCTTTGGCAGACAAGAGAGATTCAACCTCTGACAAAGTTGGAGGATCGAGGATGTTGCGAGAGGCTATCGATGAAGCTAGGGATTCATATTCCTCTGGCAAGCCTTCAAGGATTACATTGATGTGTTCCTTAGATGAAATCGGTTCACCAATGGACAGGAGATTGTCTGCGATGGTTTGAATTCGTAGAAGATACTCAGAAATGGTGTGATCACCTTTTGCATTCGTATATAGCTCGGATTTCAGCTGTCTGGCCTTTGCTACAATACTCGCCCTGAAGAACATGTTGATCTCATTCCAGAGCTCATACGAGTGTCTGCAATGGATCACCCGTGCATGAAAAGCTTCAGATAGTGATGCAAGTAACCTGGAAAACAGCATTTGATCATGTTGTTCCCAGGTAACATATAGTTCATCAACAATTCCTGCTGTTTCATCATTAATGGAGAGAAATTGTTTCGGAATTTCAGAGAGAAAGTTTTGGAATTTCAGGTTTGATGATGAATCGAAGGAGTTTGTGCGCACGTACAATGGATTCAACATGATGCTTCCAGAAAATGAAGTTGTTAGCATCGAGTTTGATTGGAAGTTGATGTGTGAAGGTGACGATTGAAGAGGAATTAGTGGAGGTAGCAGAGTTTGATTCAGAGGATGCCATTGTTGGATCGAGAGCTAAAGCTTCGATACCATATTAGAAAGAGAAGAGGAGAAGAGATCTGAAATGATAATTGTTGTATATTTTCAGTAAATACAATAGTGCTGAGTACAGATATTTATAGTTGGTTACAAAGCTATCTAACTTCAATAACAACCGAGTCCCTATATAGTGTGTTGCTCAAGTAAAGTACTTCTAGTCTATTACATGTTGTATATCTAACAGCATGTTTTATATCATTAATATTTTTGAAAAAATCTCTTGTTATTATTATTATATAATTTCATCATCATGAGTACCATAATCATCAATTTTTTTAATATTCAACTACTTTTTCAAACTCTAGTTTTTGTCTAATAGTCAAATGTATATTTTTCATATTTAGCACTCTGGAAATTCGAAAAAAATGATGTTGTTGTGAGATAATATTTAATATTAGACTTTCATACTAAAAAATATTTCTAGGAAAAATAAAAGTAAGGATAAAATCAAAATGTCTTGTCACGTATATGCCCTGCCTAGACTTAAATGGCTTAAGACTTAGTCATGCCGCATTGACATGCCTTGTGCTTTTTACAACATTGATTACAACTCATTGAAATTTTTCTCAAAGAGATGAGTATGGATTTTAAAATCAAGTGTAATTTGTTAACAAATACTTTTATTTTGACTGCTTTGTTTATTAATAATCCGTAATTTGACATAATGTAATTGTTATTTATTATTTTTAGAGTGCAAAATATATTATATTTTTTACTAAAAGGCCCAGTTTTCACCGTTGCACAGGGTCCGTGCCTGGTTAGGACCGGCCCTGTCTACGGCGGTGGTAGTTTTTTTAACCCTGTAGTAGAAAACACTAGAGTTAAGGGGGGCCTCTTATTCAATCAAAATCACATGGGTGCACCCAATTGCACTGCATAAAAATCCTTAACAGCAGTTATTCTGTCAATAGAATGGACCTTATATAAGAGGAATTTAATGAAAGAGGTTGCTTTAAATCTTACTCTGCCTCCGGGGTTTCTTCCTTATTTGATCTGAAACATTAAGCACGGGAACTTCTTCATGTACATCTACCAGAGATGAATTATCATCTTGCAACGCACCTGCAAGAATGTTAAAAGGCACACACTTTGATAGTTTGGTACGTAGTATAATTCTTATTACAGCATGCAAATCTTTGTCTATTTATGCAAAGCTTAACATTTAGATGTTACCACGTTTGTATAGAATCTAAAATGTCAAGCACAAGTGTGAACATTAAAATGTCTGCTTGTTACGACATACACATAAAAAACTGTCACAGTTAGGCAATTTTTACTGAAAATCAAGAAGCAAAATTTGTTACAACACCAATCATGAAATGGACATGACAAAAGCAACTAACTCAACTCACCATTGTCTCATAATAATTTCCATGCAAGTAGCAATAACCAATGATGATCAAGGATTCAGAATTCCATATAATGATTCCTTTTTAAAAGGCTTTGACGTGAAAGTCGTCTAGTGTATAACTTGACTATATTTTAACGAATTAATATTGTTAACAAATTTTATTTAAGCCACTGATATAAATGGTTGGGATCAAGGTGAAGGTGATGATGATGATTAAGGTGTAGGTCAGATTTTTCATTTCCATTCAAACTACTATACAACAACATCCAAACCTTATTCCCAAAAGATTTTGGGGATTTCCATTCAAATTACTACAAATACAAAAATACAACATGGCATCATACTAGGTAATAGGTAAAAAAATTGAGAAAATGTAAACAAATACATATATGCACCCGAAAGATTTAGATGATAAAAGCTACAAAGTGGATAACAAATTAGTTATACAACTTTCAAACAAAAGGAAAAGTACGGGTAAATCATATCACTGAAATCATGTGGGCTTTTAAGGTGCACAGTTTGATGTCCAACATGATTGACATGTCTCACTTGATAGCAGGTCTCGAGGAACTTAGTGTTGGGAATAACAGGATCGTGCTAATATGAGAGAAAAACACTTCTATTACTTTCAAGAATAGAAAGAAGAGACATACAAGCTCTAATTAAAAAACTCTCAAAACAACACCCCACATATCTCTCAAGGATATTCACAACTCTTCTTGGTTGTGCTATGATGATCTATTCTAATTTACTTGATGATAGAAAGACTCTCCAAGCTCTCTATTTATAGCACCAAAACTAGGTACTATGAAGGTGGGAGGAAGGTGGGATTAAACATGAGGAAACTTTGAGGAAGCTCCCTTTGTCATTCTTGCACATGGATGAAGCTTCATGGTTGTTGCTTGCACATGGAGGAAGCTTCATGGTTGTTGCAATTGGATTCTTCAATTTGCTTGTACTTGGATATGTCCTGGAAATTGAATTCTTCAATTCTCCCCTTCCAGGCATATTCAAAACAAGCATCCCGACTATGTCTCTGCATAGCTCTAGCTTATCTCGTGTCACCACCTTTGTCAGCATGTCTGATGGATTCTCCTTTGTATTGATCTTCACTAGTCTCAACCGTTGTTGATCAATCGTCTCCCGTATCCAATGATACCGAATATCAATATGCTTTGTACGAGAATGGTACATAGAGTTCTTGCTCAAGTCTAGAGCACTCTGACTGTCACAATGTACCTGGTACTCTTTCTGGTGGATCCCAAATTCTTGGAGAAAGCGCTTTAGCCACAACATTTCCTTACCTGCTTCAGCGGCAGCAATGTATTCTGCTTCTGTTGTAGATAAAGCGACACACTTCTGCAATCTTGATTGCCAAGAAACAGCTCCCCCCTGCAAAAGTGTAGATATATCCTGTAGTAGACTTTCTACTATCAATATCTCCGGCCATATCAGCATCTGTGTAGCCTTCCAAGTTTGGATCAGCTCCTCCGTAACAAAGACATAACTTCGTGGTACCTTTCAAGTATCTGAGAATCCATTTGACTGCCTCCCAATGCTCCTTCCCAGGGTTAGAGAGAAAACGACTTACTGTACTCACTGCTTGTGCGATGTCTGGCCTTGTGCATACCATGGCGTACATCAAACTCCCAACTGCCGAAGAATATGGAACTGCTAACATCTCCCCGATCTCTTCCTTGGATGTAGGGCATGTTCTTTTGCTCAACTTGAAGTGATTCGCAAGTGGAACACTAACTGGTTTGGCATCATTCATGTTGAATCTCTCAAGTACTCGTTCAATGTACTTCTCTTGAGAAAGCCATAACTTGCGATTCTTCCTGTCTCGAGTGATCTGCATCCCAAGAATCTGTTGAGCCGGTCCTAAGTCTTTCATATCAAAACACTTAGAGAGTTCTTTCTTCAGCTGGTTTATCATCACTGCATCTTTCCCAACGATCAACATGTCGTCTACATATAGTAGAAGAGCAATGAAAGTACCGTCTGGGAGTTTCTTGATGTATACACACTCATCTGCAGTAGTCTTCTTGTAGCCTTGACTCTTCATGCATGAGTCAAACTTCTTATTCCACTGCCTTGGTGCCTGCTTCAAGCCATACAAACTTTTAGATAACTTACACACAAAGTTATCATTTGAGCTCTCAAAACCTTCCGGCTGCTGCATATAGATTTCTTCTTTCAAATCTCCGTGAAGAAATGCTGTCTTCACATCCATCTGTTCAAGCTCCAAGTTCATACTTGCTGCCAAGCCAAGTATAACTCGGATTGAGGTCATCTTGACAACTGGTGCAAAGATCTCATCAAAGTCAATTCCCTTCTTCTATTGGAATCCTTTGACAACCAACCGAGCTTTGTGTTTCACCACTTGTCCGCTTGCATCCTTCTTCAGCTTGAACACCCATTTGTTCCTCAGTGCCTTCTTCCCTTTAGGAAGTTCTACAATCTCATAAGTTTGATTTTTCTGCAGAGATTCTAACTCATCCTGCATTGCTATTAGCCATTTTTCTTTATCCTTATGAGACACAGCTTCTTGAAAACTCTCTGGTTCTCCATCTTCAGTTAACAAAAGATATTCAGATGATGTGTACCTTTTCGATGGTATATGGCCTCGTTCAGATCTACGAACAGTTGGAACCATCTCAGAAGAGCTACCATCATCTGTGCCTGGCGAGGTGGGTTGTGACTCCCCTTGCTCTGTACTCTCTTCTGTCTCCTCATCCTCTTCTGCTTCTGAGTTGTTTTCATGCACTTCGTCATTGTTTCTCAAGAACAATTCAGGTGCTTCATTTGAAACTTGAACACCCTCATTTGACTTCCGAGACATTGTGGATTTTTCAATGTCTTCTATTGTCAAATCTTCATGGAACACAACGTCCCTGCTTCTGAACACCTTTTTCTCCTTAGGATCCCATAACCTGTATCCAAACTCTTCATTTCCATAGCCAACGAAAATGCATGGGATAGTTCTTGCATCGAGCTTCTGTCTGAGCTCTTTGGATACATGTGCATATGATGAACAACCAAAAACTCTAAGATGTGAGTATGTAGGATCCTTACCTGTCCATAGCCTCTCTGGAACTTCAAAGTTCAGTGGTACTGAAGGTGATCGGTTGATAAGATAGCATGCGGTGTTGACTGCTTCTCCCCAAAATGACTTTGGAAGTTTAGCCACATTTAGCATGCTCCGGACACGCTCCATGATAGTCCGGTTCATTCTTTCAGCAACACCGTTGTGCTGAGGGGTGCGTGGTACAGACTTCTCATGTCGGATGCCATATTCTCTGCAATATGCATCGAACGCCTTGGATGTATATTCGCCTCCATTATCAGATCGGAGACATTTCAACTTCTTTCCTGTTTCACGTTCCACCAAGACATGAAATGTCTTGAAGCTCTCAAAGACCCGATCCTTCGTCGTCAGGAAATACACCCACACTTTCCGAGAAGCATCATCGATAAAAGTCAGAAAATATCTGCTTCCACCGATTGATTCTACCTCGAAAGGACCACAGACATCGGAGTGTACCAAACTTAGCAACTCCGTTCTTTTAGTTGAAGTAGAACTAAATGATACTCTATGTTGCTTACCAAATAGACAATGACTGCAAGGACCCGGTGCAGAATTCTTGTCAATGTTGATAAGGTTCTTCTTCATCAAGGTAGTCAACCCTTTCTCACCGATGTGGCCGAGCCTCAGGTGCCACAGATTCTGAGAAGTCTCCTCTGCAATGTTGAGGCTATCCATACAAATCCTCAAATGGGTTTTGTACAATGTGCCACAAACATGTCCTCGAGCGATTGTCAAAACGCCCTTTGACATTTTCCAGGTGCCCCTGTTAAAGTGGTTGTCATACCCCTGTTCGTCAAGACATACCACAGATAGGAGATTGAGCCGAAGGTCTGGGACATGTCTGACATCCTTCAAAGTGATTGTGCTCCCAGTACTCGTCTTTATTTGTATATCACCGATTCCAGCTATTCCAGAGGAACTGGAATTGCCCATCTTTACTGCTCCAAAGTATCCAGCTTTGTAAGTTGTGAAGTAGTACCTGTGGGGAGTAACATGGTAGGATGCTACAGTATCTACCACCCATTCAGTGTCCTCTCTTGAGACGTGCAGGCATGTTTCATCATTGCTAGTACAATACGCCACATCACCTGAGATTGTGATGAGCGCTTCACCACCCTTGTTCTTCGCTTGAGAATTGCTCTTGCCTCGCTCCTCTAGCAATTTGTAGCAATTCTTCTTCATGTGACCCTCTATACCGCAATGGTGGCAGGTATAAGAAGGTTTCCGGCCATCTGATGATCTCCCCCGACTTTTGCCTCTGCTTTGCCACTTTCCTCTACTGTTTCTTTGTTGCTTTCCTTGTGATCTTCCTCGATTCTCCGTCACAAGAGCATGAGTCTGATCTGTGCTCATGTCTTTCCTCCTTGCCTCCTCATTGAACAATGCATCCTTGACCACAGACATGGTAAGTTTGCCATCTGGGGCTGAGTTGCTGAGAGTAACAACTAGTGTCTCCCAACTATCAGGAAGGGAACTAAGAAGTAGTAGAGATTGCATTTCATCTCCAAGTGGCATTTCTACACAAGATAGTTGATTTACCAGACTCTGAAACTGACTAGTATGTTCGGCAACAGAAGTTCCACTTTTGAGCTTCATATTGACAAGACGCCTCATCAGTAGGGCCTTATTCCTGGCGGTCTTGGCCTGGTACATATCTTCTAGCTTCTTCCAAAGGGCATAAGCGTCGGTTTCTTGTGCAACGTGGTGGAAGACACTATGATCAATCCATTGACGGATTTGACCAATAGTTTTTCTATTTATTTTCTTCCACTCTATTGATTTGGGTGGGTCAGGATTAATGCCTTTCATCTCTATTGGATAAAAAAGGTCTTTACAGCTAAGGAAATCTTCCATCCGAGGTTTCCATAGCGTGTAGTTGGTAGCCGTGAGCATAATCATAGCTCCGGAAGATGAAGTTGACTCGTCAAAGGTCATTTTCACCTTCTAAATAATTTTAATATTCTGTTTGAGAAAAATCGGAGCAGAATTTTGAAAAATGGGCAGCACCGTTGCGTCCGGAACGGCCAAAAATGGTGGGTAGACACTTTCGGGGTCAAAATACAATTTTCAAAAAATTATAGGTGGAAATTATAATTTTCCAAAAATTGAGGGACCTAACTGCAATTTTTCAAAATTTAAAAACTGACCGGTGACGTGGCAGATGACGTGGCAGATGACGTGGCGCTAACTGGGCGTTGACGTGGCAGCTGACTGGGCGCTGGTGGAAGATGGCAGTGAGCTGATGATGTGGCGGATGTGCACTCGTGGCGCTGATGTGTCGCTGACACAGCTCTGATTGGCTGATGACGTCAGCGATGACGTCAGCTGTCTTCAACCTCTGGCCTGCGTGCAGAATGACGTCAGGGATGACGTCAGCGAGCTCCTCACCACCGGCGCGTAGGCGGTGCGTGTGGTGGCTTCCGGTGGCCTAAAAATTATCAAAAACTACCAGTTTTCTCGTCTCGACGAGACGAATCTAACGGTGTATTCAGATTGCAATTCCGAGCAAAACCAAAAAACACGAATTTTCAGACAGTAGAATTTTATCCGAAAATTCTGAGGAAAAAATACCAAAAGCTCAGCCAGGCTCTGATACCACTTGTTGGGAATAACAGGATCGTGCTAATATGAGAGAAAAACACTTCTATTACTTTCAAGAATAGAAAGAAGAGACATACAAGCTCTAATTAAAAAACTCTCAAAACAACACCCCACATATCTCTCAAGGATATTCACAACTCTTCTTGGTTGTGCTATGATGATCTATTCTAATTTACTTGATGATAGAAAGACTCTCCAAGCTCTCTATTTATAGCACCAAAACTAGGTACTATGAAGGTGGGAGGAAGGTGGGATTAAACATGAGGAAACTTTGAGGAAGCTCCCTTTGTCATTCTTGCACATGGATGAAGCTTCATGGTTGTTGCTTGCACATGGAGGAAGCTTCATGGTTGTTGCAATTGAATTCTTCACTTAGGTATTCCTCCCACCTTGAAATCCATTAGTGGGTAACTTCTCTAACACAGGTATGTACAAGTTTGAATGCATTTTACAAAAAAGGCATAAATTTCTACTCACCATGGAAGTGCATCTTCAATCCAAAAGCTATCAAATAGATGGAGAACAGTACAACTAGTAGAAGCACCCAAAGAAATACACTTCGTTTGGAAATTCTACGGAGTCTTCGACCTCTACGAGAGTCCAGCGGTTTTGGTAAAACCCCAGATATACCTCTTCTCTCAGGGAAGAGTTCATTGTTGTGCTTGTAAACACCCATCACAACTTCCTCCAAGATTACAGTCAACAACCAAACCAGCTCATCTTCCTAAACGAAATGAACTCCAGTCACCGATAATGTCGAGATATAAAAGGTAAATTTTAGCTTTAAAACATCAATTGTCTATGAATCACGCCAAACCTGAGGAAGATCGCGTGGACAAGAGAAGTGGCAATAAGCACAAGAAATATGGGGAATTGGGAGACGACTTATATCAGGAAGGGGCGAGATGCACAGCAGACGGAGTAGCAATGAACGCGCCGGAGAGGGAAGCTCCACACTCGATAGAGCGGTCGGTAGTTGGGAATTTGGATCTGGTATGCCTGTGCCGTTACCCGGTCGTTATTTATCGGATAAACAAGAGATTGATCTTTGAATATGGGCAGGTGAATAGTGAATTGCACCCCATTAAAAATGGACAAATCATGAACAGCCCATGAAGCCTACGTGGACACACAAATAAGGCAAATTATACCATGCAACCGGCGCACCATGAGGATGGTGCGCCCGGTTGCAAAACGACGCAGCTTCCTTGTTTTTTTTTTTGTTTTTGTTGTTTGAAAATGATGATAACTTTCTTATTTTTGATTCGATTTTTATAAAATTTATATCAACATTTTTTATTTTTCATGATCTTTCAAATGAGACGAATATTACTTATGTAATATTAAGAAACTATCGAACTATTATATTAATGAGTATTGGATTATAAGGAAAATCAAATTTGTTTGGGAGATAATAGGTTTGTGAAATAGAATATTGAATCTGTTTGGGATGGATCAGTGGCCTCAGTTACATTTGATAATACATTGAGTTACATCTTTTTATGAACGAGTTACATCTTTTTATAAGCAAGTTACATCTTTTTATAAGCAAGTTACATCTTTTTATAAGCAAGTTACATCTTTTTAAAAGCGAGTTACATATATATAAACACGAGTTGCATTTGACATGCCTGAACGCGACTTGCATATATTTACACGTAAAGTTACATATTTTTACACGTAAAGTTACATATTTATACACGCGAGTTACATATTTATACACACGAGTTGCATTTGACCTGTCATAACGCGAGTTACATATTTTTTTACGTAAAGTTACATATTGTTACACGTAGAGATACATATTTATACACACGAGTTGCATTTGGCCTGACTGAACGTGAGTTACATATTTTAACATGTAAAGTTACATATTTTACACACAAATGTTAATATGTTAAAATTACATAGGCAATATTGGTCTCATTTGAAAGATCATGAAAAATAAAAAATGTTGATATAAATTTTATACAAATCGGTTAGTACAAACTTCTTAAAGTTTGAAAAAAATTAGGGTCCGGCCCAAATATACCGGCCCAGAATATCCCTGAGACCCAGACACAAGGGAAGGCCCAGAAAGAATCATCAGGGCCGAACGGCAAGTCCCGTTCGGCACATCCCGAACGGTATATAATGGTAGAACGAGAAGTGCTCAAGTAACCGACTGCAGTTAATACTAGAGCATGGGGGCATCAAGTGACATGAGAGGCAACTAATCACACTCGAGTATCCCATACCCCCATCTAGTATAAATAACATCATTTAAATCATTTGTAATCCTTTGAAGGACACCACTGAGACGGAAACCACCACGGCTTTCGTCCATTCACGGATCCACCGAGAAATCACCAGGGGGCTCATGAAACTAGGGCTAGACGAAATACACCTAGTGACCACACCCCGATCGGGCCCCAAGCCAGAGGAACTACACCAGTCGGGCGCCGTTTCCCGTATGAGGAGCACGATGGTACCAGATTCATACGGAGACGATGGAATGAAAACATGCCCCCACCAGAAAGAACCCCTGAAAGAATCAACCTGAGGACACCTCCCCGAACGGCTCAGGAAGCAGCGCTGGCTGCATTACAAAGGCAGATTTATGGGCTTACTCATCAACAGAATCAAACGCCCCCGCCACCCCGTGCGGGGATTACATCCCCCTTTACAAGGGAAATAATGGAGGTAGATATCCAGAGGGATTGCAGAGCCTCGGCCGGGTTAGTTTATAATGGGGCAGGAGACCCCAATACTCATCTGATAACCTACCAGGGAGCGCTCATGCTTTTGGGAGCCCCAGAAGAGGCTATCTGCAGGTTGTTGTTTAGCACCCTCCGAGGACCTGCCCAGGAATGGTTCAGCCATTTGCAACCCCGATCGATCGGGAGTTTTGCCGCCTTGTCTACCTTGTTCCTGGCTCAATTTGCTTCAAGTGATACCCCGAAACGGCACTTCAGCTATCTTACCAGCATCCGCCAAGGGCCTAAAGAGTCCATCACCCAGTTCTTGACGAGGTGGAGGGATGAGACATTGAAGGTAGAGGGCTTGACAGGTTGTACGGCAATCACGCTATTTACCGATGCCCTGCAAACCGGAGAGTTATTCCAAGATTTGAAGAGAAATCCGGTGACCAGTTATGCAAAGATTCTGGAACGGGCATGGAGGCATGCCATTCTGGAGGAGGAAATCACGATCAGAGATCGGAGGGCACCACAAACGCCCACGAGGTTAGCCGATCGGCTAGGCCCTGACCTAGTGGCCACAAATGTTCCTAAACCAAACCGGTTTACACCGCTCATCCTCTCCATCGCTACCATCTTCCAGAATGAAAAGTGTAAGGAATAATTGTAATTAGATTTTGATGATGCTATATTAATTAGGACTTTAGAGTACCTCGCTTTAGGAAATTTGTTTTAGAAATTTTCTTTGTAAAGTTTCCTTAGAATAGTCGACTGACAGAAGACCCTATGTTAGACTTAGTCTGGACAGAAGACCTTTGGCTCTCTGTTGGTTCATATCCAGACAGAAGACCTCCTGGTTCTCTGTTGGACTTCACTAGAACAGAAGCTGTCAAGACCCTCTGTTAGCTCACATCTTGACAAGAGACCTAAGGACCCTCTGGTAGCTTATCCCAACAGAAGTGCTCGAGACCCTCTCTGGTTGACCCTCTGCTAAAGATATCAGAAGGCCTAACACTTAGAGAATTTTCATGAAACTACTTTAGCCGGTGAAACCAACGGAAGATTCTTTCAACGACTAGGAGACTTGAACGGGAAAGCTATAGTACGCGCATTAAATGCACATTTAATTCACCTCGTACGCTAAAGAGTAAATACAGATGATTGGCCGAAATGTCAGGATAACTTTAGCCCAAAATAGCAACTCGCCAACTTTACCGGGTCCTACTGGTCAAGTCAACTGTATGCACATTTAATGCAGTTGTCCTCCTCCTCCAACGGGAAGACAACCCCTGTATAAAAGATACTACTCGAAGAACAATCGGAGAACTTTTGCTAATAACCTTTGCTAAGACATTGCTCAACTTGGCTTGAACCTTGCAAAAAACCTTAAAAAGCCTTCTTGAGATTCAAACTTCATTCATCAACAAGAAAGGCGGATGTTGGAAAGATTATATTCTCACATCCTCACATTCAAACAAGAGCAAAAGTTCCAACTGTTCTTCAACACTTCAAATACATCAACTACACATCATTTGTAACAAAGCAAGTTGGAAAACCTCTGTTCTAACAAGAACTCTTCTTTAAATAGAAGGACGTTCAAGTAACTGGAGTAGTGAAGTGGAGATACTTCAAGGAAGCTCAGTGAAAGAACCAGTCTTAAAGGAAGCAAGGAAGTGCATCCCAGGAGACATCTAGGCTTGAAGAAGACGTGAAGAGCTTCTTAAGTGCTAGGACTAAGGCTTTGTAATTGGATTTTTACAAGCTTAGTGGAACAGTGGATTAGAGGAATGAGTTGTTCCTTGAACCACTATAAAAATCGCTGGTGTCATTTACTTACTACTTTTATTTCTTGCTATTACTTTAAACTGTTTAACTCCAGAGATTTGATCTCTGTGTTCAGCAGAACCCATTCTGTGAGTTAACAGAAGGCCTATTGCCTTTGCTTCTCTTAGAGGCTAACCAGACAGAACCCCTACCAGAAGATCGTCCGCTGTCAGTCTGTTCTGCCAACAGAACAGGCTATTCTGTTAAATCTGGTACTTAGCTTGAAAAAGTTAAAAACCAGTACAATCTATTCACCCCCCCCCCCCCTCTAGACTGTACCCAGTACAACCGGGACCAACAAGTGGTATCAAAGCCTCCTTGTTCTGATAATCTTTTAGGTTATTTGCTGAACAAAGATCCACTTGTTTTCTTTCTGTCTCTGTTTTACTCTCTTAATATGGATCACTCTCTTTCCAAGAATCTTATGTTTTCAGATCTTAAGTTTGATGATTGGAGGATCCGGATGAAGGCGCATCTTTGTGCTCTTCATGATGAGATGTGGGAAATGCTTGACATAGGGCCATTCACCAACTTCCAGAAGGTCAACCCTGAGCATGCTATTGACAACACACGACCTCAGATGATAAACAAGGTCAAATCTGAGTGGACCACTGAAGAGAGGAGAAAATACGATCTCGACAACATTGCCAAGGACATCCTCTACAAGTCCATTGATGACAGATACTTTAACAGAATCAAGAAGTGCAAGACTGCCAAAGAAATCTGGGATACTAACAGAATCAAGAAGTGCAAGAGGACAACAAACTAACCATTGCCAACAAGAAGTTTGATGACTTCAAACTTCTCCCTGGTGAAAGCATTTCCAAGATGTATGACAGACTCCTTACTATCACTGGAGAAATCTCTAAACTTGGCAAGGAACTCACCACTAAGGAGATCAACCTCAAAGTGTTGAGAGGTCTACCCTCAGCATGGAAGATGAAGGTGGTTGTTGTTCAAGCCAGCAAGGATGTGAAGACTTATCCTACAGACAAGCTCATCTCAGACCTCAAAGCTCATGAGTTCGAGATGATTGAAGAAAAGGAAGATGTACCAGAAGAGAGGACCACCACAGCTCTCACAGCTAGTACATCTAAGGTAAATGATTTTGACCCTTCAATTCTTTTAACTGACGAATATATGGCTGCATGTGCCAGAAAGTTCAGGAGATTCATGAAGCCCAAGGATGGCAGAAGTCCATCCTCCAGCAGAAAGCCACACCAGAAGACCAAGTTTTCAGAAAACAGTGGAGAGCTTCTCTGCTACAACTGCAGACAACCAGGACATTTCAAGGCCAACTGTCCTCACCCCAGAGTGTCCAAGAGACAAGGACAAGATGGAGAAAAGAAATATGAAGACAATTCTAGAAGAAAGAAGGCACTTGTCACATAATAGTTCGAGAAAGACCCCCTTTCTGAGACAGAATCCAGTTCTGATTCTGATTCTGATGAGGCCTTCTGTTGCCTGGATACTGAAACAGAAGACCTATGCCTCATGGCCCAATCTGATGATGAGGTAACCTTCTCTTCTAACTCTTGTTTTTCTTCGGTAGGCACAGCTTTAAAGGATGATGCAATGTCATCATTGTGGGAAGAGTTTAGAACTATCCAAACCACTTATTCTTCAGTCAAAGAAGAAAACAGTAAGCTAAAAGTTGAAATCTCTGATTTAAGAAAA